GACCAACAATTAATTGATAAGCAGTCATTTTTTTTAAAAACTGGAGTTTTCTCTTGAATCAAGAGGGTCTTTCCATAAAATGAAGGATTTTGTTTTATAATCTCCTGAATTAAAACACAGAAGCACATAATACATATTTTAACAATTTATTTTGCTAGTTGTATTAAATATATGCTGAAGCTGACCTGCTGCTCGCGTCTATTTTTTTTATTCCTTCGTCCAGAAACTTTTGCTGCTCAACAAATAACTTTGACCCTCAGTCAGAAAAAACTGGAGGGTTTTCATACTTTTGGCCCAAGAGGAGGACAAAACTAACGGTGGATTTGTGTGCCCCCCACCCCCACCCCCCGCACGCGTTTCCTCGTTGTGACACGGCTCGAATCAGACCTAAATTTAATGTGGCATATACGTTTTATCATATCTTCAGATCTACTTGGCCTAACAACATGATTTAAAAACTGGTTTAAAGTGCGAAGTCTCTACTTTTCACTCGAGAGTCAGAGAGGGCGGATCTTTACAGGTAGTTTTTTCTTTCTTCCTAAACTTTATTCAGGTTAGCCAGCATTGACAACGTTCTGTGGGTGACGTAAACGGCTCCGCGACACGACGAGGCACGCATAAATCGCGCGACACAACGAATCGATAATGAAATTCGTTGCCAACGCTTTTAATAATCGATTTTTATTGATTTTATCGATTCSTTGTTGCAGCCCTAGACGAATAAACTGTAAAAGACGTGTCAAAAGAAGGCAGTTCAGAAGAAAAAATCATAAAACATCTTAAAACTTTAAAACTTACGGTAGGTGCATTTTCTGCACTCTCACTATTTACAGMACTGAAAAACACACTGGGTGAAAGACAATCATGCATGTACATGTTCTAAATAAGTTGTGGGAGTAAAGAAGTTTTTTCGTTACCGTAGTTTAAAATTCTGTAGCAAAACGTCCAAAATTGTATAACTTAAAGTGCGATTGTGTAAAAGAAATTAGAAAGGTATCAAAAAGTCAGTTCATGTAAAGTCCACCTCTCTGTGATTTGTTTAAACTTGTTTAGTTTTATCCTGTAAGGTRTATCTGAGCTATGGTGCTTTAAAATGGACTATAGCTCAGATATACSTTACAGGATAAAACTAAACAAGTTTAAACAAATCACTGAGCTATAGTGCTTTAAAATGGACTGTTTCCTTACTTGTTTTATCAACATCCTGTTGATGTGTTTGGGGAAATTTCTCGCAGTAGTGTACAAATTTTGCCTATGTTTTACAATATACCATTATTAAAAGTGTTGGCACATGGTTCCTGATCAGCCACACACTTTCACATATACTTTATTTCTCCAAAGTTGTAGGACATAAAACTGGGCAAAAATGGTGAGCAGAATTGTAATAACGGAACTTCAGTGCTCACACTTAACAACATATTTAGTGGTGTCGCAATACCAACATTATAGGGCCTACTCGTAGAAAACTCTCCAATACTCAAGACCAATACAATACCAGAATCGACATCTGTTGAATGTGTTCCAGTTTACATTTCAATGAAAGGATTGTCAGTTCCACTCTTAAGAAAGTTATAAAAGTTTAAATAAAATTTTATTACCTCCGCCAAGGTGGGGAGATAATGTTTTCGGTCGCGTATGGTCGGTCGGTCGGTCGGTCGGTCGGTCGGTCGGTCTGTCTGTCTGTCTGTCTGTCTGTCTGTCTGTCTGTCTGTCTGTCTGTCTGTCTGTCTGTCTGTCTGTCTGTGGACAAATGACGTCAGATGTGTGTATGCCTGTAAACGGGAAGTAGAAATTGTAAAGTGGGACTACACCTCCCAGGATGTCTACTATCAGGAAAGTTGTGATTATTCTGTTATCAACCAGTATTGGTGACGTGACATGCTATCTGGAGACATAGAAAACTAAATGTGATTCTCTTCACGTTAGAGGAATAACTGAGAAGACGCTGACAGCGGGGGGAGGGTCCAGCTGTAGCTGAGCTGAAGCTGGTACCGAACAGCGGGAACAGCTAATAAACCATGTGAGGTACCCCCTCCACATAAGAACTTTATTGTGTGATTTGTCAGAAGTTCATGGGAGTGTTTGTTTGTGCTAAAAGCGCTCAGACGCTGAGCCGATTGTACCAGGAAGCAGCAGTTTAGAAATATAGTCAAACCATTACAAACTCATAAAATGGGATAAAACACGTTTTACATGATGGAATCTGACTGAAGAAAACTAAGGAGCTTAAACCGGGACCAGCTTGTGGATGAATAACGTTGGGTGACGAGTCTGACTTTTTTTTTTTTTTTGCATTGAACTCCACCGGATTGAAATCCCGTGCGTACTGCCTGCTTAAATGTTCACTACGTCAGAACTTATTCGGCAAATGTGTTTCACTTCTCGTTTTTATTTGAAAATGTTGTAACAGTATATATCGGGCTGTATTTTTAATTTGATCCAATCAACTAGATCCAGGGAACCACCTGTTCAAACTCAGTAAGTACTCGGTACYGGCRATTACTAAAATTGAAGTACTTGTACTTGGTTTGAGAAAAAAACTGTTTTGGAGACACCCCTAAAATATTTGTAGAAATGTGACTAAAATAGCTTCCCATGGATTTTGGTGAAGCTATCACACACACACACACACAAGACAATTAAATCTTTCAGCATTCTCTCAAAAAGCCCAGCAGTAATTCCTCCACCCAGCCGACTCAAAACGCCTCGCTCTGTTCTGCCACTCTTCGAGTGGCGACGCTGCACAGACTTTCTAGGTGCCCATTCACCTTTCAACGCCGTCCACACGTAAGCCTGGGGAGGCTTGATTGAGTGGGTTTGTAGGTTTCTTCTAACGCTACGAGGACCTCTCCACCCGACCCCAGCACATAAACAAATAAAGCTCCAGTTTCATCATCTAGAGGGGGCTGTTTCCTGTCCCGACTCAGAACTAAGCCACCACCACCCCCCCACCCACCTCACCACACTCCACCTCTTCCCACACACACAAAACTCTACACCGCCGCTTCATTCGAGCGGCTCGGACCCCCCCACTCCCACCAGCCCTAAAGTGCCAGCCTCTTTCCACTGCTCAATTGCAGAGAGGAATGAAGGGATTTGAGGGAAGAAAGAGGGAGAGTGAATGTGTGTGTGGTGGGGGGGTGACTTTGAGAGGCAAAAGGGATTGGGAGTGTGTGGGGGGATCTTATTGCAGCTCTGGTGAAATATTTTGCTGTGGAGAAAGTATAGATGAGGAAAGAGAGACAGAAACGCTACACTGCTGCGGCATCTAGACAGTAAAACGCCCCCCACCACCACGCTGCCCCCAGACCCCCAYCGAGCCCTCCATGCCACTCTCACAATAGGGGCTTTACGCTCCGGAGTTTTTTGGCTTTGCAAAGTCTTTGAAGATAGGAGGCGAGCACGACCCGATAACGCTGGTAAATATAATTTACCCACTTGTGTAAACACACAGAAAGGAAGCGTGTTGTGTTGTGTGTGTGTGTGTGTGTGTGTTTGCATTAATGAGTGACTCTGGAAAAATGTGTCCACCGTTTGTGCCATCTAAGCTTGATTGTGGGTGAAAAAATATATATGTCTGCAGAAACTCAGCGTTTAGCCTCATATTGTTGGATGAAGCCACAACACAAATGGAGCACTTCAGCAGAAATAATGCAAGCGACTCACCTGTGTAGTCTCTTGGCATAATGTGGGGTGGGCTGGAGAGAGGAGGGGGCGCAGTTTCAGTGTACGACAGGGCTGAGTCTGGTTTTAGACGGTGAAGGAAACAAAAAACACAAGAAAAGGCGTTAGGTTTTAAATAAGGTAGGAGTTTGATCCAGTGATTTGTGTTTGATTAATCAACCATCAGATTGATCGCTTTGTTTATTTTTAAGAAGAGTCTTTGAGAGTGAGTGTTGTTGCACAAACAGATCTTCACTCCTAATAACTGGGTGCCATTTAAACAGCTTTGCAAAGATAACCTATGTTTCCAGTCTAAAAATAGGGCGGTGACGAGTCTGACGACACAGTTTTCCCAGACTTACCCAGTAGCTTATGTTCATCTGAATGAGCCACAGAATATGGGGGAGGAGGTGATTCTGTGAACACAACAAAAACAAAGAAACATTATTATGAGATGGAAAAATATTGTYAGAATTATTAGTTTTACACAGAATGAATGCTGAGAAATACATAATATGTGTAAGTTTGTCGCTGCTACATTAATTAATGAGACAATCAACATTTATGTTTCGTAAYACTGAAAAACAACATTTTAGTGTTTTTGTCAGAATAAAATAGAATAACAATCCTCACGGATATAACAAAGAGATGTTCAGATGTTTCAAAGTGGAGTTTTGTGGAAAGGTTTTGAATCTGCCCTATAAAGCACTTTGAATGACCTCAGTTTGGAAAARGAGTTTAATTCTAACCAAAATAAAAGAATTAACGACTTGTCTAAAGCAAACGGGTTTTACTGCAATCTGAAAACAACTAAAATTTAAAGACAATCCTGKTTTTTTTTTGTAAAACCCATTACACAAGTATCCTGACAAAAATATCATATATATTTCTGTTGGAAGTCCCTCAGGCTGCACAGGAAGTGCTACAGCTAGCTGCAGCTGCTGCTCTTTGGAACTGTATGCAAATAACCATAAATGATAACTGTTTGGTAGTTACTAGTTTATAAAGTAGAATTCAAATAAACTGTTAAACTATGCAAGTATAATGTTTGGAGATTGGAGCAACACTGTAAGAAATAAAATACATTTTTATGAAAAATTCCAGCTGCTGAGTTTGACAGAACTTCACAATAAAAAAAAATCATGAAAAAAGTTTGAAACAGTGTAGTGAAAAAATGTTGCATTTATGATAAATTACCAGCAGTTCTGGTTTCTAGAAAATCATTGTTAACACTGACAACGGACTTTGGGTTAGCGGTTAGCTCGTCAGTCTGTTCTCCAAACTAAAGTCTTTTGAAAAGCACAACGTTTAAGAAAGATCTGACCATATAACTGCTAAACTTGATGAAACTCTTTGGCCTCTAATTTAATGATGCTTTACCTCTTTGGGTGGAGTTTGACGGTTCTCTCCATGCATGTGTGGGTTTTCTCAGAATACTCCTCCATCAGACTAAAATCATGTATGCCAGGCTAAATGGCAGCTCTAAACTGAGAGTGAACGGTTGTTTGTCTCGTGGCCCTGTGATGGGACTTATGACCATGGTGCCCCATGCCATTTGCACTGTCATTGCTGGATAATGGGCAATCCATAAAAAAGAAGCCAGTAAATGTAGATGGTGGGTGGGTTATTTATATTAACCATCAGATCTTATATTGTCTTTAAAAAACTGCACTTGATATTTACGTCATCCTCCTTTCTGACAGTTTATTTCCTTGGCTGCATGTGTTTGAGCCTCTTTGCAAAGTTAACCCACTAAAACCTTTAAAAACACTGCTTCATGCTGCTGGGTTAGTCCCTTCAGTCCAAAGTGGCCCTGGGATTTTGTGGCTGCGGCCCCTTTAAGAGCAGAGCCAGTAATTGCCGGAGTTCTCAGTCAGTCAGATACCAAGCGAGTCAGTCTGGCGCCAGCACTATGCAAACTGTATATTATCGGCACTCCTTCACCTAAATAACAAGAGGAGGACCTCCTTGTCAGAGGAAAGAGAGCCGAAGTGCAACTTGAGAACGGTCCTCGGTTGGACCGTGTGGGAGGCAGAGAAGTTGGGCTAAAACAGTGAAAAGAAGAAAAGACTGAGAGAGAGAGAAGTTTGTGTAACTTAAAGGGCAGATCAGAAAACATGACAGGGAATGTTCCGCTTAAAAATAATCTGTTTAAATCACACAGAAAAAAATGTAATCATGAATTTCTCTTTCTTTCTTTCTTTCTTTCTTTCTTTCTTTCTTTCTTTCTTTCTTTCTTTCTTTCTTTCTTTCTTTCTTTCTTTGTGATTGACACTTTACATCAACATTATTATTCCTCTGCTGCAGGCAAGAAGAGCTCATTTAAAATAAATACCTCTTATTTCACACTATCTTTCATTTTGAGCCATCAATCATCCTCGTGTGGCTTTAATGATAATTAACTTCTTGCAATCAGCCCCCACCTGCAGGGAGCACCTGATGGAGATGTCACTGCTGCTCTGTTCACTACGTATGACATGGATTCTGTTAGATTTGATCATGTTGTGTATGTGTGTATGTGTGTGTTTGTGTGTGTCTCCCCCGCTTATCGCCCCCTGAAGCCCGCTTACCTGGCCCGCACAGACGGCTGTAGTGATAGGGATTGCAGCACACCTTGGCGCCGTCCTCCGCGCCGAAGCTCTGGCAGTGGCTGAGCGCTTTGAGCCGGRCTGAGAGCGGCAGGTCGCTCCAGCGGAACAGCTTACACAACAGGTACTGGGGGGAGGCGTGGTGGGCGCCCACCCGCAGCTCGGTCCCGGGCACCACGACGCACTCGCTGCTCATCCCTCCCCCGGTGTCCACGGCCCTCACCAAGGCGTCAAGAGAGCTCTCTTTGAGTCTCTTTAAGAAGCCGTGCGCTGCGCCCGACACTTCCTCCTCCAGCCCCGCGCGTCTTGGTGCGCACTGACAGGGGCCACCTCCAGCGCCSTCTTTCCTCGGGGCCCAGTAGGGGCCCCGGCGTCTGAGGGCCCATTCCCCGAACAGACAGCATGTCACCGTCCTGCTGTCGCCCTCCTGCTCCCGCCCGGAGCTGCTGCTGCTGCGCTCCGGGACGCACATGGCACCCCGGTCGTCCTCCTGTTCCTCCTCTTCCTCCCTCTCCGTCGCSTCTCCAGCCTCCGCCGAGGGTCTCGGCGCCGGCTCGGAGCGCGTCACCGACCGCTGCTCGTGTCTGTGGAGCTTCCCCGGGTGTCTGCCGCCGCCGCCGCCGCCGCCGCCGCCCGCGCCTCGTCTGCCTCCATCCCGTCCGTCGCCCTCGCTGACCAGACGGCTTCTCCAGAGTCGCCGAACAAGACCCGAGCGTCTCGACTTGAACATGCGACACACCTAGACAGCTTTGGATGAGCCCAGTCGGTCCCGTCCGCCTCTCCGAGGATGCCGCATCGATTTAAACTGGTCGCCAAAGACCGGGAGCCTGTGCACGGCGCGCGCACCATGAGCAGCCGGTGGTCCCCGTTCTCTGGCTGTCGTGCAGCATCAGAGTCACATTCGGTCCCAGGTAGCGCTCAACATCTCCAACCTCATGAAGAGAAGGCTGCAGACAGTCTCGGAGACCTGCTGGGGCCAAACTCAATCAGGCTACAACTTTCCCCAGGCGTTTCACCAAGTCTCCCAGTCCACAACACCCCGAAGAAAGTCCCAAAAACATAGTCCGGATCCGAGGTCTGCACTCACAACAAGAACTCATCAGGATCATGAAGCCAAAGTTTCCCAGAGTTTCGTCCATGCGCTCCTCGCGTTCTCACACAACACCACCCCACAAAACACCCCACAAACAAACAGCAAACCAGCTTCGGGGGGTCTCGGCGCAGTGGAGATGTCGGGAGAGGCTCCTGGGGCCAAACTCCTGGACCGAAACCGAGCTGAGAAGTTGTTTCAATTGTCTTTGCAAGTCTCTGTCAGAGGCACGCGCGCACACAAACACACACACACTGCTGCGCACTGAGTCAAAGCAGACACACTGAAACCAGAACTGTGCAACTGTGACTTTCAAAATAAAAGACTTGAGCTAGGGGCTGTCCATAAATGATCCTCAGTGGGGGAAAAAATAATAACTAGAAATTTGTGGATATTTGGTCAAGGATTACTTTTTGAATAGCGTGATGAAAAATTGTCTCTGTACAAACTTTTTTAATTTATTTATTTTTTTACAATTTTGAAAAAAATATCACAAACGTGGGTTTTGTGGTCCCAGCATTTATTATTTATTTGTGTTGGACAAAGTGATGGTTTAATTGGAAAAAAAAATGACAGAAGGTGAAGTGGAACACAGGACTTTATTTGTTAGATCTTTTGCGGGCAAACAGGCGGCTCAGTTGTTGGAGCTGCTGCCTCCTGTGGAGAACGGTGCAGGACCAAGTTCACACATTCTCTCAATGCATGCGCGGGTTTTCTCCCTAAACCATGCATGTTATTGATAAGTAGCTATAGGCCTAAACTGTCCTATGTGGACCTGTGATGGACTGAAGACTTGTCCAGGGTGTAGCCTACCCCGCCTCTCACACTGCTGGACATGGGCACCAGTGCATGCGGGATGCATCTCGAAGCGCCGTTTTTAATGCTGCCTTTATTTTGAAACCTTTAACAACGAATGCCCCATGTTTGTCTGTGTACTTTGACTCTCTCTCTCTCTCTCTCTCTCTCTCTCTCTCTCTCTCTCTCTCTC